AACTCACCACTGGTAGAGTTCCCCAGATCTTTTGGAGCCAGCCTCACTCTCCGCTTGAACCGGCGCTGTCCATGAAGAACGATCTGCAGGTTGAATGGCAGGAACAGCAGGGTCTTCGGTGGGGGGTATGACAAGATCATAACATTCTCCCTGTCCTGCAGCTCCTTAATCATCCTATTAGAAATAAAAACAAATGAATATTTAGCTTTCTCAGAATGAAAGAAAAAGTGTCATTGGTTAAGTTAAACAAACTAAACGCAAAAAGAGAAAAACAGTCAGCATCGTACCTGCCAACAGGGTCGGGGTTGTCCAGGATCTTCCTGATGAGGCCGTACTCCCAGACACAGCCTCGGTGAAGCAACTCATTTGCCTCCTTCTTGGCAGCATCAACAGCCCTCTCAATATCCACACGTGGGGAGTCCTTCATACAGGACCTCCTCAGGTGAACAGGAAGACTCCACTGAGTCTTCTTGCAAACTGGACACAGGAGGCTGACTGTTTTTCTCTTTTTGCGTTTAGTTTGTTTAACTTAACCAACGACATTTTTTCTTTCATTCTGAGAAAGCCAAAGGGGCTTTATTAAAGCCCCAGGATGTTCTGAGAACATCAAGGCACTGCAAGGCCTCATTAGGCGAAGTAAGAAAGAGTGCAGCCCACTTGCAGCAGTATTCGTGGACACTGACCCCATCTCTCACCACTTGTCTTGAAAAGATCTGCTAAGGCAATTCAGAACTTCCATACAACAAAGGCATTGCCTAAGCTTGATGAAGCATCAAAGCGGGTTGAAAAGCCAGCTTTATTCACTCCTGCGCAACATCAGGTTGGGTCTCTGGGCACCAATCTACTAGAAGATCGGAGGGCGAACCAGGAGTCAGAGGGCCATGACCTCACATATATACCTTGCAAGAGGATCGGGCTAGGACAGGTGCGGATTCCTCTGATATGTGTTTCATGGGGTGGGACTGTAAGAGGGTCCCACTTTGACCGCTCACGAGTAAGACTGCCTTCCTGAGCATGGGTGAACGGCAGCTCACGTATGGTGGAAGAACCCGCATCTGCACTCACATTCAGCCTCCTGGAGGGCGTAGTCACAGCTGAGCGGCTACCCAAGCTTGTGCAAACTGGACTTGTGGGGCATTTGGTGGAGCGGCTAGGTTCTTCATTGATGATTCTGCTGATGTGCACACCAATATCATATGTGAATGACTGAGGGGTGGAGACCAGATCCCATTGATGGTCGAAACAGTCACACAGTCAGTACTCGCCGAGCTTGGGCTGAGAGTACCACACAGCCGTCTCTCGCACGGTGTCAGTGGCCAGCGGAGCAGATTCCGTCCTCTGCGACAAGCATCCAGGGCATGGCAATTGGCATTTCTGCAGCACTAGCTGTTGTACGTCAAAGAGTGTTCAGCCCTAGCAGGCTGGATCCTGGATGGCTGGTCGTCAGCTCGCTGCCCAGTAACACTTTATGAAATCGAGGGTGTGTTTTTTGGGAAGTGGGAAAAGCATGAGCCTTACTATGGTCTGGGACGTTTTGTGATGGCTGGCACAGCAGAGAATGAGCAGTTTTTAAGGCCCAAAATCTCCCGTAAGATACTTGACACCCTCAAGTCTACACGGGCCAAAACTGCCACGGGCCCAGCCAGGATCAGTAAATGGGATACTAGGGTTCAAGGGTGTTCATGTTAGCAACGGATGGCTGGGTTGCCCAGTTGGGTTTAGCCCGTGCCAGTACATTGCTGCGCTACAGCTTAGGGCAAACGTGTATCCCACCCTCTGGACAAAAGGGCGTGATGGGTCTGGGGCAGCTTGTCTGGGGCAGCTTGTTGCATATTCTTGAATCCTCCATGCACATTCTGTGCCAGTGCAAGAGTCCCGTATCGCCAGGCATAACAGGGTGTGTGCGCTCCTCACCACTGCAGCTGAGACGGCCAACAGGGAAGCTCACCAGGAAAAGTCGTTCCGCCTCCTCTCTGGGAGATCGATTCAAATGGATCTAGTGTTCGCCCAGGGCCAGATCGCGCTGGTTGTGGATGTAACCATTTGCTTTGAGACTGTCAGAATCTTTGGCTTTCGCTGCGATCACTGTGAAGCCAGCTTTGCAATTGGGAGAGATCTTTGCATGCACCAGTGGGGGGTCCACAATCAGGCATCTAATAGGATGGCAGCGGCACGAGCCATTGCCAAAAAGGGAACTGCTTTGAAGCAGATGGCAGATAAGGGTGACACTTGGAGCGATTCCGAGGATTTTTGCCTCTGAGGACAGGAAATTCTGGGCACCAGTCCATTTCCCAACGGCTCAGTGAGAGACACGAGGAAATCAGCAGGAAACGTAGAAAGATTGGCATTCCTACTGATGGGTCTCGCGATGAGCGTGATGCCACTCCCAGATCGCAGGATCAGCCACAACGAGCATACCTCAGTACTTAATGCATGGCTGGAAGGTGCAGACAACTGGCCTGCTCAGCTCGAGACTGGAGCCCGAACAGTGCTTCGTCAGCTTGGTGGGGTCGAGGAGGGGGCCTCTGGGTGCCAAGAAGGCTCACTCTAGACCTATCCAGTCTTCCTCAGCCAGGATAAGGTCCTATGCTAGGTGCCAAAAGTTAATTAGGACTAACCCGGCCTGACTTGCCTCAGAAATACTTGATGGCAAGGAATCGTTCACGTGTCCCATTCCCTTGGAGGCCATTGATTGGTCCTTCAGGGAGCAGTGGGAGGCGGTTTGATGATTTGACGGGCTGGGTCATTTCCTGGTTGAAAGGGACACTCACAATGAGCCTTACAAATCGGCCCTATCTTTTGGGGAGGTACTGGACAGCCTCCAGCGCATGTCAAACTCCTCCACACCTCGTTCAGATGGAATCCGAAAGCATTCCTTGCTTAACTGGGATCCAGGTTGTGAGAAAATCACACAAATGTTTAACATGTGGTGGTTCATGGGTGTCATCCCGGTATGCTTTAAGCGATGCCGAACGGTGCTACTTCCCAAGACTACAAATCTGATGATGATGGAGGTTGGTAACTGGAGGCCAATCACCATTGGAACTGTGGTTCTAAGGCTCTTCACAAAGGTGATCCATGGCAGGTAATCAAGAGCGTGCAAGGTCCACCACCGGCTTCAATGAAGCTTCAGGGTGCTCGGAAAATCTTGAGGTGCTGCGAGGCCTCATCCGACACTGCAAAGAAGAGCACAACCCTCTCGCAGTGGTATTCGTTGACATTGTGAAGGCATTTGACAGCATCTTTCAAGAACATATGTGGTATGTTCTAAATTAAAGAAGGGCGGACACCCATGTCATAGGAACAATCCAAAATTCTTATATGAACCGTGTGACAAAAGTTGAGATCGGGGACGTCAACACCCGATATAAGCTTGAAGGTTGGAGTTAAGCAGGGGGACTCTTTGTCTCCCCTGCTCTTCAATCTGGCATTGGATCCCCTCATCCAACGCATCGAAACCCATGGACAGGAGTTCAGTATTTTGGAGGTGTCCGTGTCAGTTCTGGCATTTGTGCATGATTTGGTGGTTGTGAGTGACTCATGGCAGGGCAAGCCCACTAAGTGTCACGGCTTTCTCATTTCGCCTACAGCACGCACTTGGTGTCTCAATGTTTGTCCGCCATGAAGGGTTGAAGGGGTGGCTCTCCACATGACTGGTCCAGACGCGGCTGTGAGATACTTGGGGGGTGAGGGTGTCACCTTTGCTGGGGTTTGAGAAGCCAGACATCGTTGGTCGTATTTCGGAACACTGAACACCGCAGACAGGATCATAAGGAAAGGTGTGAAGAAGTGGTTGCACCTTCCACAGTCGACTTGTGATGGGCTTCTTTACGCATGTAACTAGGATGGTGGACTGGGATGCAGAAGTTGTCCTGATTGATCCCGTCTATCCAAGCTAGGCAATTATTTCTGCTGGCAGGGTCATCAGATGTTTTGACAAGAAAGCTTATGAGCAAAAAGCAAGCATATTCTAAGTTCGTTGCAGTTTAGAGAAGGGCCGGGGTCTGCCCAGCTTTGGCAGGGGAGATGCTCAGGTTTCAGTTGAGGGCAGTCCTTCCGATTGGAGGCGGGAGGAATTCCTCAGGTGCGCAGGCCTAACCACTCAAGGTGTGGGGGTTCTTGGCTTCATGGGCTCTGCGGCCAGTAATGTGTAGCTTGCTCATTCAGAGCGGATGCAGCAGCGGCATTTCTTTGTGGCACTTCAGCTCCGGGCTAAACCCTACAGGGTTCATTCACTGCGAATAGGATCACTACGGATGATGACTACTTGGCTGCCAACCTAGCCATTAGATTAGGTGGTAGACTGCTCGACGGGTTAGCCTAAACTCCCCTGAATCAGAGTCATCATTCTGCCCAGTGCTTGAATGTCAAAGTGAAGAAATTCAATGAAGCACGAGTAAAATGGCAAAAGTAACTATGATCCTCTAACCTAGGAAATTCCTTGTCATCTAATTAGTGACACGCATGAATCGATTGAGATTCCCACTGTCCCTATCTACTATCCAGCAAAACCACAGCCGAGGGAACGGGCTTGGCAGAATCAGCGGGGAAAGCTTGACTCTAGTCTGGCACTGTGAAGAGACATGAGAGGTGTAGAATAAGTGGGAGGCCCCGCTCCGCCGGGCGCCGCCAGTGAAATACCACTACTCTTATCGTTTCCTCACTAACCCGGTGAGGCGGGGAGGCGAGCCCCAGACGGGGCTCTCGCTTCTGGTGTCAAGCGCTCCGAGGACAGTGGCAGGTGGGGAGTTTGACTGGCGCGGTACACCTGTCAAACCGTAACGCAGGTGTCCTAAGGCGAGCTCAGGGAGGACAGAAACCTCGAAGTGCGAAGCTACCATCTGTGGGATTATGACTGAACGCCTCTAAGTCAGAATCCCGCCTAAATGTAACGATACCGCGGTGCCGCGGGTCTTCGGTTGGTCTGGCGTAGCCGGGGATCCCTCGCGGGGGACCCCGGTGAGCAGTGCCGTCCGTGACTGGGCCTGGGTGCGGCCGGAAAAGCACTGCACCCTCTCCGATCTCGCACCGCAAGTTTGTGTTGAACCCGGTGCTAAATGGCTCGTAAACGACCTGATTCTGGGCCAGGGTGTCGTGAGTGGCAGAGCAGCTCCTTTGCTGCGATCCACTGAAAGTCATCCCTCGATCCAATCTTTTGTCCACTCCAATGTGGGGCTCCGCATGGCGGCGGAGTGGCGCAGAAAAGCTCCCCATTTTGGAGATACCTGGGGTCTCCCAGTGGCCCCATAATTCAACTAGGTGGCACATCCAGGGTCTAAGACCCACTGTGCAAGGCCAACCAGATGGCACTATGGTCGGCCACAGCGCTTCAGAAAGCAGAAAGCCCACAGTGGGTGAAAGCGCTGTTAAACACTTATTTTTTTATATTTTTTTTTATTTTTTATAATGGTCCACCAGCGGTTGGTAAAAACTTGGAAAAATGTTCCACCACTGGTCCAGCAGGGTGGATGAGAGTTGGCCATCCGAGAAAGCCCGGGGATGGAAGTTAGGGGAGGTCGGGGGTGAAAAAGAGCCATAAGAAGAATATGGGTATTGTGGGGGAATGGAAGGGTGGGTGTTGATGGGTCGTTGAAAGCGGATGCAGGAGAGGACTAAGCTCTTAAAGGTTGGTGGTGGTGGGTGTTATTTCCCAGGGGGAGCAACAGGCGATTGAAATAACGGGGGAAGGTGGCTGTATCTCAGGAACAGTGAAGCAGATCGACTCGGGGGTTTTTACTGGATACAAGGATGGGCCTCTTTTGTAAGCGGGTCACGTTTGGTGCCGGTGATCCATTCGGGAGGGCCCCAGTAAGCTTTCAAAGTCCCCCGGCTAAAGTGTCATGTCCCCAGGCTTATATTTCCGGAAGGAAAGTAGATACGTGGACGTCAGAAAGGCCAGAGCCTGTTGTAGCCGGGTGTAAAGTTAGGGACCTTAGAACGAAAGCATGGCCGAGAGCTGAGGCTCCAAACACGGGTAAAAGTGAAAAGTCTGAGGCCCTATAACGTTAAAAGGCAGCGGCTGTCAAAATGCAAATAAGTGGGCTAGTAGAGGGGGCAGCCCCCCCCGCTGACAGCGCTTGGACCTGGTGCTATTAGGCCTGCAAGTTTTGACGTTTGGAGCTCCGTATCTCCGGTTCTCCAGGGGCTAGAAGGTCAGTCTCTTTCGAAAGAGGAGGCCAAGCTCTACATGACTGTAAAGTTTGGTCCAGAACGATGCAAAGACGGAGGAGTAGCAACGGCTCAAATCTCCGGTTTTCGGCTGTGGGGAACTTCGGCACTTCGGAACTTCGCTCCAACATAACCAGATATCTGAAAAACAGGCTCCCGACACAGCAGCTCCTGGTTCTCAGCGGTGAAACGATAATCCCCCACAAGCTATAAACCGATGGAACTGTCTCTTCGATCCGCTTCCAATTTCGAAGGTGCGCTTTGTCCAACCAGTACCGTTTGAGAGATATGGCCCGAAGTTCCCAGAGCCGAGAACAGGAGATTTGCGCTAGTGCTACTCCCCTATGCTTGCTTCGATCCAGACCAAACTTGACAGCCTTATAGAGCTCGGCCTCCCCTTTCGAACGAGACTGGCCTCGACCTTCTAGCCCACAGGAACCCGGAGATACAGAGCTCCAAATGTCAAAAATTACAGGCCGAATGGCTCCTCCGCGGGCACGCGCATCAAGACCAAGCACTGTCAGTGGGAGGAGCTGTGCCCCCTCGACTAGCTCACTCATTTGGATTTTGACAGCTCGCTGCCTTTTTTAAGTTATAGGGCCTGAGACTTTTCACTTTTACCCAAATTTGGAGCCACAGCTCTCAGCCGTGCTTTCGTTCTAAGGTCCCAAACTATACAATCTGCTATAAATGACTCTGCCCTTCCCGAAGAGCCTACCCACGTTCACGCAGTTACTTCCATTCCGGAAGCATAACCCACGGAACATTACACTTTAGCCAGGGGATTTTAAAAGCTTACCAGGGATGTGTCTTGGATTACATGAGTTTGGTTTATTTCCCACTATTGTCCACAGCCGTTGATCGCTTTGCAACTAAAAAAAAAAAAAATCATATTCACAAATTAATTTAGGCTTGGTAGTGCGATGTATGTCTTGGCTTTGATGTGTTTCTGCTTTAGTTCCCTATACTTTCCAAAGCCATTGATCAGTTTTTGGTACTAAAGAAAAATTGTATTAACAGATTCATTTGGGCATGGTAGTCCGATGTATATTGGTTGTATTTCCTGTGGTTTTGCTTTAATCCTGCTATTCTCCACAGCCGTTGATCGCTTTCTAACTTAAAAAATAATACTCACAGATTAATTTAGGTGTGGTAGTCCGATGTACATGTCTTTATTTTCATGTGTTACCGTTTTAGTTTCCGCTATTTTCCACAGCCTTTCAAGGCTTTGCAACTTAAAACACTCTCAGATAATTTACGCATGGAAGTGAAACGTATATGTCTTGGCTTTGATGTGTTTCTGCTTTAGTTCTTGCTACTTTCCAGAGCCGTTGATCGCTTCTTGCCAATAAAACATGATATTCATAGATTAATTTAGACATGGAAGTGAGATGTATGTGTTTTGGCTTTCATATGTTTCTGGTTTAGTTCCTGCGGTGAACATGTCTTGGCTTTGTCATGTTTTTGTCCTTTAGTTCCCGCTATTTTCCACAGCAGTTGATTGCTTTGCAACTAAATGACATTTTTTTTAACTTAACTAAGTTTAACTTAGGCATGGTAGTGCGATGTTTATGTCCTCACTTTCATGGGTCTAGGGCTATATTTCTCGTCATTTTCCACAGCCGTCAATTGTGTTGCAATTAAAAATAATATTCACAGTTTAATTTAGGTGTGGTTGTGTGAAGTATAAGGGTCAATGACGTGATGCCTAAATTTTCTGTACGACACTTTTTTCAGTTTAAAAAAAGGTTTAACTGCATCTCCCACATATCTACTCACTTTAACTTTTTAAAAAATTTGTTAATTGTAATTTTCCTGTTACTTAAAGGGTCAAAATATCATGTGGTGTGACCGTCCGGCCATGACTGCTGTTCTGAAAACTTCTTTGAAATTACTCTAAATCTGTTCATTTTTACTTTTTATCCCATTTTGGCATGATTTCCAAAGTGTTTTGTCATCCAGTTCAAAACTGCAAAGCATTTCTAAGTTTGTTTCCATCATAATATACAAATGAACTTTGTCTGATGATGTCTATTTTATGAAATATCATGTGGTGTAACCATCAAGAAACAACCACTTTGGGACGTTTATGTTAAAATCATCTCAAAACCAGGAGATTGCATCCTATAGCAGTTTGCCAAGTACCCATGGAAGCAGCAGGCAGATTTGTAAGTCTCTCTGAAATTTGGGGAAAAAAAATCGTCTTTTTAACGGCTGGCATGTCGTTGCCACTTTTGTACATCATGTGATATGACCTCAAAAAAATAATGGATATTAAATTATTTCCACAAATATATATTTTCATTAATAAATTTCATAGTTACCTTTTTGGAAAGCTAGCTTATTTTCTTTCGGTGGCCAATTCTGTACTGGTAAATTTTGACTGAATTTGAAGATATAATGCGGTGCGACCAAATATCATGTGGTGCGACCGATGCAGAGTGTTTTCTATAATAGATATATGTCATAGATTGGCAGTTTTTTGTGCTTTATATTCAAATGATAACATGATATATATATATATATATATATTACACACACACACACACACACACACGTACTGTATATGTAATTTCACTTAACTTTTGTTTATATATCTATAACTGTTTTAATTTATTTTACCAGATACCATTGTAAATATCTCTCACCATAGGCAGTGCTAATTCTGACTCTTTAGCAAGAGCAGAGTACCTTGCTAAGAGAAGAGAAATTAATGTAATTTTTGAATTAATGAACATTCATTTCAAGTAGTTTAGTTAGTATGTTAATTTACTTGTTACCACGTTAAGTCATTTTTTATTGTGAATCTTTTTACTGTGTACCAGAGAAAAAAATGACAAGGAAAGGTTCCATGGGTAAAAATAGTATAATAGCAATAGAATTTGTCCTGTTTTGTCGACCACTTTTACAAATGTGGGATTTTTGGTTCTGATCAAAATGATTTGAAAATCAAACTGAATTTATTCCATTGTTAAGCCAAATGAAATATTTGTTCTAAACAAAACTGTGAATGTGCTGCACTTACAATGATTTGTGATAAGATTTTTAGTAAAAAAAAGTTTATGAAACATTTGACAAATTTTGAAATTGATAAAACTGGTTCATATCCATTTTTTTGTATGGAATTTACCATTTATTGATCTTTTAAAATAGATTTTTAAAAGGTATTCATGTCATTTGGAGTGACTCATCATGTGGTGCGACACATAATAACAATAACTGTATTAAATTTAAAATAAAATCTCATTTTTGTGGCTGAAATGTTAATCGCTGATGCAGCATGTTTGAGTTGATGGCTTTCTAAAAAAAAACATTTTATGCGATTTGCAGGAAAAATAAGTCTTACTTCATTTAAGATGACAGACATTACAGAACAAAAATATGAGATCATTATTTATAAAACTCAAAAGTAATGCAAACCGTTTGTTTCTAAACGCTTTATATTACTGAGAACTTGTAAAAAAAAGTTACATGTGTCAAGGAAATGAATTAATTTTTAAATAAATCATGGTCGCACCATGACCTTTTTTTTTTTAAGGCCACAGCCATTTCATCTAGATGAAAAAAAGCTAAAATAACAATCTAAAATTTAAATATGAATGTGTTCACAACATTCTCAGTGTTTGAACAACTGCAATTGATATACTTATTTTCTGTATTTTAAAATTGGCCTATTGAAAATCCTTATACGTCAATGACCCATATGTCTTGGCTTTCATGTGCTCCTGCATTAGTGTCCGCTAATTTCCACAGCCGTCCATCTCTTTGCAACTAAAAAAATAATATTCACAGATTAATTTAGGCGTGTTTGTGCAATGTATATGTCTTGGGTTACACGTGTTTGTTTTTTTTGTTCCCGCTATTGTCCACGGCCCTCAATTGCTTTCTAACTAAAAAAAATAACATTCACAGATTAATTTAGGTGTGGTAGTCCAACGTACAAGT